GATTAACACCTTACATTCAGAGGTAAATATTACAGTTTTCTAGTTATATATGGTCCATTGCAGCATGTGTTGTGTTGCTGACACATTTGCTAACTATGATTCTTTTTTTGCAACTGTTCTAATATCTAAACATTCTACATTATCATTCCATTATCATTATATTTGTGGCCTTGTGACATTTAATGTGAATGCCCTGCTGGCTATACCAGTCAACACTGCAATTCTGGATTTTAATCTTCAAATACTCAAAATGTCGAGCTTGGTTTTCCTGTGTCTCCTCAGCCCAGCGAGCTCAGGAGCTCCCTGCAGTCGAGAGGCAGGACCTGGACCGATGCTCTGTGCTCGGGGGTCAACAAATGGTCCTCACAGGACAAAATTTCACATCTGACTCCAAGGTGATATTCTCTGAGAAGACACAAGGTGAGGAGAAGATGTTTTGCTGTCCACTGGATGTTAGAACTGTTACTTCTGACAAACTTAATCATTTTCTTGCAGAGAATTAGAGTTAGAGTTTTCATACAGTTGTGTTAGCTATGCACAAAGACTGGAAAAAAGGCCCTTATTTTAATGTTTTTAAATGCTTTTATCTTGCCTTCTTATATTACATATAAAAGTCTCACTGTGCCATTGTCTCCATGACTAAACAGTCCATTTTTCATTTTGACATAGTATATCAACATATTGGACCCAAAAATTCTCAAGAAACATCAAGTGGTTTGATCACTACAGCGTGACTGTGGACTCCAGAGGGTTAATGCTCATCAGCTGCATTTAGCAACCGACAAAACTGCAGGAAGTCAAAATTTGTGACCAAAAACAATGCAAGCATGTCAAAGCTCCCTGGTTAAAATCACACAGTGTTGATTAAGCTGATAAATTGTGTTGATCAGCTTTAGCGGTGATGGTAGATTGATTATGTTACTTTCAAACTGAACCTGGTTAGCTGTTTCCCCCAAACCAAACTGGTTTTAACTGTGGCATTAGTCTCTGCATCTAAATTTCAGCAAGAAATACAATTATTGTATGTTCCCTAAATGTTTAATATATAAAGGTTTATGTCTAGTTACTATGATATAATGTACCTGGATTTAAAACTGGTTTCTACAATCAAAATAGTCTAATGTTTTGTACACCACCCAGATTCGACCTTCTCAACCTCCTGTTTTGAACGTAACGTCTTCCTTCAGACTTGACTTTTAACTGGTGCAAACCTTTTCAAAAAGTTTTTCTACGTGGAAAAGTCACACTCTGTTAGCGCTCCTTCTGCCCACACAAATTAGTTTGGTTGTTTGGTTTGAGAGCAGGATGCAAACAGTAGACTGCATGTGAAGCCTCCCTGCTGCTTGGCGTGGGGTTTTATGCTACAGGATGTGGTTCGACAGACTGATTCAGACCCAGAGCAGAGGCTTTATTTTTTTGTTTTTTTTTAAGCGTGGGTAGAAAACAGGCAAAGCAGGTAAAAAACGAAGATGTGGATGAAACAATAACCTAATCATAAAACATGAGGTAGATTTCCACTGGCTCTGAATATACAGTATGTGTTCACATGCTGGACTGTGACTTAATGAGAGGATTGATTTCTTACAAATTCATCCTTTCACCCAAACTTATTTTGGGTTCAGTTGTGAAATCTTTATCAATCTCCTTATCTAACTCTTAGCAAGGAGGCAAATATGTGGATTTTCCAAAAATTTCAAACTATTGTTTTATTTATATTCTGATTTCAATACCTGCAGCCTATGTTCCATTTTTTTCAGAAGGGCAGCAAATCTGGGAGGTGGAGGCCACGGTGGACAAAGACAAAACACAAGCTGTGAGTTCACATCCACTTTTCAACGGTAGATTTAGATGTATTCAGGCATTAAATGAACACTGTCTCACTAAATTCACTCAAAACAGAAAATAAACACAAAATCTGCATTCACATTCAAAAGATTTTATTTTCGTTGCAGCAGGGGCAGCATTTGCCTCTGTCGATACGGGACAGTTTGTCTGAAACAAGACGTTTTTTTTTCCTGTGTAGAACATGCTGTTTGTTGAGGTCCCGCCGTATCGAGACCGAACCATTTGCCACCCGGCCAAAGTCAACTTCTACGTCATCAATGGGAAGAAGAATGGCAGTCAGCCTCAGCACTTCATCTACACTCCTGTCATAGGTATTTAACTGTTTTAACTAGATGATGAAGGGGTATGCAGAATGTTAGGAAGGGCTCTGAAAGGTCAAAGCTAGGGTTGGGAATCCTGGATAAGTCCTGGAATATATTTTTTAATGTATTACTCAGTCGAACAGCCATTAGTACACATTCAAAAACACCTTTTCAACGTTCTTAATCAGCAGAAGAACTTTTTTGCCACTGCTAGACAGCTGTAAGGGCAGGACAGGCTGGTGATGCACAGCGAGTATTCTATATGCTTATGTAATTACATTTAGCTCAAAGTGGCTCTATGACCTCAACAACAGAGATGCTAATATGACCATCAACTCTGTGTCTGTACTTGTCGGGTCCCCTGTGAGCTAATGATTGACTCCATCTCATTTTTCTGTGTTGGATTTTTATTTTCCAGCCGTTAAAGCAGAGCCACCAGATGACTATCAATTGAATTCATGTGGCTACTCAGTGCCTGGCCTGTCGATGAAGTCACTCTACCATCACCTGGAGCAGGACAGCCACTTTCAAGCCTTGAATGTTTCTCCAACACTGTACCATCTGACCACTGTGGACCCCAGAGCCTGCGTGTTAACACCTGATCCACTGGATGACCAATCAGCCTATTACCAGTCCAGAGCTTTGATCAACAGTCCCATGCTGTACCACACTGTCAACCAACACTATAGCAGCTGTGGTTCCACCCTTCTTACTGATTCCCCAATGGCATCCTACTCTGCCTCCGCCCGCAGCCAGTGCGTCGGTGCCAGATCCCCTGTGGCCAACCTGTTGGAAGGTCCTCAGGTTATTGATTCCTGTGTGATGGAAAGACAGCAGACGATGCTGCCACTCGGGAAGTCGCCGCCTTCAAGATTTATCCAAGGTCAAGCTCATGGGAAGGCTGGGTGCAGGGTGGAGCCAGGTGGAGGTAACCATGAGAAGTGGGCTCCAGAGAAGGTCACAGTCAAACAAGAGAACCTCAGCTATGCCTACCTGGAGGATGGTGAGTGTTACTGTTTTATACTGAATGGGCAAGTGTGCTGGGAAAGACATGCTCCTCTCTGACATGAGAACCAGGAGAGCAGTGTCCGACAAAACCAACAGTCTGTCAATCACTTCAGCTTGTAGCTACAGCGTGCAACCTTTTGTAAATAAACGTGTTTGAAGAGTCACTAGCAATACTAGCTATTTATACCTCTGTGATGAGACAGCAACAGGAAGTGTATTTTACAGGCAAATACATGTGGTTAAGATGGAAAAGAAGAGAGAGATCTGAAATGTCCTGCAGGCTGGAGTAAAAGTGAAAGCTGAGGAAAGTACCGACAATCTGTTTTAAATCAGTGGAAAATTTGCCAAAATATCGTGTTTGTCTTATTATTTCTTTTTACCATTCTTAAGATCATATCGAACATTAAGGAAAATTGTATTGTTTCTGTCAACAGATGAATGTGTAAGAACTGCAGTTGTTTAAGAGAATAGATCCTTGATCAGTCCAGAAACCACTGACGTTAAATCTCTGCTCATGAAAATTGAAACATATTTTGGACATTAATGTAATGCTTCACATTTAAGGCACCATCCACAAACCTATGACTATTACTATGACATGAACCTCCCTGGTTCATGTCATAGTAACAATCCAGACTCACACCACCCCTGATTTCCTGTCATCTCTCAACTGTGAACCTAACGACAAGGAAAAAAAATAAAAATAAATTAGTGAGATCAGTGGAATCACCTCTTTTTGTCCACAACCATAATGTACGCAGTAAGAAAATTAAAAACTCCACACTCCACAAAGACTTCTGATATCAACCTTTGAAGTAACTGGTCTTGCTTTACTTTTGCATTTTAGTTAATGTTACATTTGCTCATTCATTTGTTTTATGCTTTCCAGTGAATGACATCATCAGCAGGGACCTGAAAGGCCACAATGGAGAGTGAACCTGGAGACCTGCAGCAGCTTTGGTGTGCACCACATTCAAAGTCCAAGCAGTAAACATCAAAATCCTTACTATAACAGACGAAGGTTGTAACTGCAAGAATTGCAATTGTTGAATCGGCTGGATTAAAGAAACACATGAGGCAAAAAAGAAACTGGAACTGTTTCATGAGAGGGTTAAGTTGACATTATTTCAAGATGTGTAACGAGATCTGTAAAACAAGGGAGGGAAGTGGTTCACTGTAAATACACCAGCTGCAACATGTACATCAAAGAATGGATCTAATCACTGTTACTTTAATACTGTCATACATATTTAGCTAAAGACACGTATCATACTTATACTGCTTGTCTGTATTGTGTCTTCTCTCTGTTCATATACTTGTGCAACGGCTCTTTGTAAACATGTGTAAATATTTTATAATAAATCTGTTTAAATGAATCGGTGTGTTTTGAGACTTCAACATCCTGCGGCCAATAACGGACTAATTGTACAAAATTGTAAATATCTTATCTTCCAAATTACACAATCCTTTTCTCTACAATCTATTGCTCAACCCCCTTCTATTATATATATATATATATATATTAAATGTTTTCCTATTTTTATATGTACATATCTATGCTTGCACAAACACACTGAAGCAAATTCCTTGACAAATAAATCTGATTCTGGTTTGTACTGAGAGCCGACTGAAAACTATTAAAAACATTCTAAACTATTACATTCTTATTGTATTCTGACTTTATTGCCTAAAGACATTTGTGGATTATAGAAATTCGTTTTTTAAATTATATTTCTTAAGGAGACATCACAGTTGAATTGTTTCTGTGCCTCAAGCCTCAATGTTTAACAAGAACAGTAGGGGGCGACATTTTCAAAACAATCATTTACTAGGTCGGAAGCGGGACACAGATTGGTGACATCACTTCCGTAAAGCGGAAGTTTTTTTCTACCTTTGTAAAATGAAGCAGCGTCTTTGTGTTTAGGAATCTGGAGCTGGAAGTATTTCTACCTGATGTTGACAGGCCTGTAACCAAGAGGAAGAGTGAAGTATTCCCGCCACAGGTACTGAGGTCTTCCTCTCTGAAATCAAACATGGAAACATTGCGTCGTGGCTCAGTTCCACGTATTAAAGAATGTGGTTTAATCAGTGTTTGGCTTCATTATAACGTCTGAATGTATTTATGTTGATAACCTACTGTCACCATGGTACTGAGAGAAGAACACGTTTGATCCATCCATGATATCAAGCCATGATAAGTCAATGTATAGATGTATATATATGTAGATATATGAGATAGATAGATATGTATATGTATGACAGGCCCTCCATAAGCCTCTATTTAGAATCACTTGCATTGATCCTCCTCTCTGCTGCTGTTGTTCACACAGAGACGTCACTGAGGGACACCCACCACAGCAAACATCCAGCGGCATCATGTCTGCAGACCTGGACCTGTCCCCTCCAGAGGTCCCTGAGCCCACCTTTCTAGAGAGCGTGCTGCGGTACGGCCTGTTTCTGGGCGCCATCTTCCAGCTTATCTGCATCCTGGCTATTTTCCTTCCCATATCCAAGGGGCATGAACAGGTGAGAGGATAAGAGGAAGAGGGGTCATGTGATGAAGTGTGTTTCCCCTCTGCAGCCTGGTTTACTAATACGTTTTGGTTCAGGTTAAAGTAAGGAGGAATGGGAAAACAGACTGTGAACATGAGTGTCTGTGCCTGTTGCTTTGAAAAATGTAGCTTTAATAGGGATTTAATGTGTGTGTGTGTATATATATATATATATACACATTAATGGTCTGCACAGTAGTTTGTCAGATTCACAGGTTTTACTATTTTAAAAAAACAGAAACTTGCAAAATTGGACGTAAGTGTTACAGAATATGTTATTTTTTAATGTCCATTAAGATTGAGCCATCAAGGGTTACTTTCATAATCTATATATTAAGAACTATCAGGGGAGATTATTTATAGACCGGAGCAATTAAATCCAATGTCTAATTATTCTATTTTCAGCCGTCGTCATCAGATGTACTGATTACTTTCCACAGTATGTGGCAATTTCATTCTGCTATCATTCCTCTGTGCTAGAAAAATAGGAAAGATTGTAATCGGAGAAACAGTGCTGACTAAGGGAAAGTGCTGGAACACGCCTGAATTTCTTTGTTTGCTCTGTGACCAAAAACTTTTATTGAACCATCTATTGAATGCAGATTAGTTTGAGACCATTCTAACAGGAAAACTGTATTACCAAGATCTATTATCACAAGTTACAAACCCTCCTCTGCCAATTTTACTCAATTTACTTGTATATGTGAGAGTCAGTCAGCAAAAGCATCATCTAAATATGTCTTCAAATCACATTTTTATGCTTAGCAATCATGTCAAGTATTTTCATACCACATTTGAATGACTCAGAAGATTTCTTTTGAAACTGCCGTGTGTTTCATGTGTCATATGTTTGCTCCACAGGAGGAGCCTGAGTCCACAGACAGTAAGGCTGCTGAACCGATAAAGAAACCTAAAGGAGCAGCATCTCAGATTCGACAGAAACCAAAGAAAGAGAGCAAGAAGAAGCGCTAGACAGCTGTGTGTGTGTTTTTGTGTTTGTTTGTGTGTGTCACTAAACATGTATGAAAAACTGTTTTTCTACAACACTAAAACATTGTTCTTAATTTGAGACACTTCAGAATGAATGGTGTCCTGTTCACAACCAACACAGTATTACCAGGAGAAAACTGCCATTGTGATGCTTGTGGTCTGTGACGTATTTTTATTGGCTAAATGTTTTGCAATAGTTTCTTATGTTTGAATATCATTGATTGAACTACATTTATATTAAATGCACTATGCAGTCATGTGCCTCAGTTGTGTTTATTCATTGCTAAACAGTTTGGTTAAATGATGTGCAATAGGATTGTGTCCTGTTATAAAATAATCTTTTTGAATGGCAGATTATATATTAACTCGACTCCGTTTTAAAGTTAGTTTTTTTACACCAGAAAAGCATGCTTTACTGCAATAATCAGATGATAGTTTAAATTTACATAATGTTAAGACAATTCATAAACTCTATTGGTACATAATCCAAGATGAGAAGATGATGCAAAAAGGTAATCCAACTATGTGGGTCTTATGTTTATGTTGTTGGCCTAATTTTGTTAATATCACATTTATATTTGCCAGTAAATGCCTCAAAAACATAGGCCTCAAAAAAGACTAGAGTATTAACTGTATACATCAAGTGACACAATCAATAGCTGTTGATCGCAAAAATACTCCACAGATTCATCGTTAATGATAGCAACAATTTGTTGCAATCCTAATTCACGCTGCTCCAGTGTTGTCAACAATTAACATTTTATTAGAAAAATATCAAGCAGCTTTATAATTATTTCACAAACTGATTTCTCCTAACAGCTTGAAAATAGTTCACGTTAATTCAAGCTGTCTCAAGTGAGTAGTCCCAACCATCATCGGTGATTGGCTGATAGCCCCAGAATCAGAATGATGACGTCAAAGCCAACGTAACTCTTCAAAGCGATGTGCTTGTCGCCTAGCAACTGATTGATCTTTCCACTAAGTGATCTGGTGAAAGGAGGCGTGTTGTGATTAGTTTAATTACGATACAACAATATGAGCGGAGATGATCTGATGATGATTTTTATTAAAAGTGTTCAGGTTTTTATTCGACTACTACTCCGTGGTGGCGTCGAGTTACGCATGGCGACGTGAATCCCCCTGACTCCCACCGCTGCTGCGTAAACAGCGTAAAAAAAAAAAAAAAGCCCAGACTCGTCATATTTGCTCCCAGTGATGCACGATCCCGTGGTTTTCTCCCTACGAGCCATGTCTTCTTCTTCTCCTTCTTCCCTCCACCATCCCTCCTGCTTTGACGCATGAACCCACGGCTCCATCGACTCTTCCCATCTGAACGGGGCAGCTCGCTCGCTCTCTCGCTCCGCCGTCGGTCCGGTGTTTGTCCGGCCCTTCCACCGCAGCCCCGAGCCGCAGCCGCCCGGCAGCTGAGCCCTTTGCTCCTGAACACGGCTCCTGCCATGACTTCCTCTTCCACCTCCTCCTGCGATTCAGCCGAAATTCGCTAAATGGGATTTGTGGCCGGTCCGAGGTTTCCACAGCAACTGGCCCCCCGCTTCCATTCCGCTCCGTCTCATGCGCGCAGCCACACCGATCTAACCCGGTTCCTCGCTGCGCGTCTCCGGTGTTTGGGCTGAATCTCAGGACGCGTCAAAGGTGAGTGACCAGAAGCTCAACGCGACATTTCTTCACCATTTACCACCAGGTGGGTTTTCTACCGGTTTGTTTGCTGCGTATCTCCCCGTCTGATGCCCCCTCCTCACGCTGACTTGTGTTTCATTGTTGCACAGGCCACCACTCACATTTGTGCCAGTGTCGCTGAGGGTTTACCACAGACCCTCCGACACACACAATACAAACCATCCTCCAGCGTCACATCTTTAAAACCAAACAATCCTCGAAGCCGCTCGCTTTAAATCTTCTGCGCACAGAAATGAAAGCCAACAATCCATCGAAATTCAAAATGGAGCTGTACCAGCACCTGTTTTGATTCATCAGGCCGCACATGCAGCAGCATTGTCGCCTTTCAGTCCTCGCTCCCATTCACAAATCCCCCTTTACGCACCTTACGTGGATCTGTTTGAGAAACTGTGGATGTTTTTCCTTTGTATTATTATCATCATCATCATCATTATTATTATTATTATTATTATGATGATGATGATTGATTCTCTTCCTTCATCATCCTGACAGCTGCTTCTCTGTGAAGGCACATCCCACCCCACCCCTTGTCTCTTTTTAAAAGCTGCTTTGCTGACAACAACTGGTGTTTTAATCTCGTGGAAATAGCATTTTAATTATGTGGCTAATCTATTCACTGTTGGTTTGGGTTAGAGGCATCTTCTGGCTCATTTCCATATGGCTGTGGATTGAGGTTGGATTAAGTCACACAAACATGGGGAAGATCAACACAGGATCTCTACAACTGGACTGATTCATTTGGATTCCGGTGGTTTTTAAAATCACTTCCTCTCAAATGATGTTTTTTTACATTATAACATGTAGATTGTAAATATACACTGTCCCTTTCACAGGTCAGTAAAAGATCTAAAGACCATTTTCTTTATTGATCTATCCAACAAGTGTTGTTCTGATTAATTGTTTAATCCATACAAAGGTCACAGATACGGAAACTCGCTCATTGCAGGTCCTCAAGGTTACATCTTCATATGACTTGTTTTTCGTTCACTTAGAAGCCGCAAAATAATATATGCTTATTACCATGAAAGAAAAAACAGAAAGCAGGAAGCAATTAGTTCCTTTTCAAAAAGTGTCACCATTTGATAAATTAATTGTTGCAGCTTTATTTGGCTTCAATTGCAAAACAGTCTGCCAGAAGAATGCATATCACCTTAAATTTATTCTAATATCCCATAAAAAGAAATGCTGCATGTGAATTAAATATAGATTATGTGCTGTTATTAATGCAATTCCTATTAATATATATTAACATGTGCCACCTCTGCCCTCCTCCATAGCATTAATCATACTGTAGCAGCCATTTCTCAGAGCCTGAATCATTTGCAGCCAGAGCCCCCAGTGAAAGATAGACAGAAAACAGAAGTGTTTTTATCAGCTGAATGCCACGATCCCCCCTCATCTTCTCCTCCTCCTCCTCCTCTTCTTCTTCTTCCTCTCACGTGTCATCTGTGTGTTTGTCGCTGAGGACGAGCAAACGTGAGGTGGAACAGCTTGAAACGAGCTCCAAGGTGCGAGGGGTTAACGGAAAGATTTGGGAGACAGACTGACGAGACTCAGATGGGACGAGACTCGATAGTTAAAAGTGACTGCATTGTTTTCACTTCGGCCCTTTTCTTGATTCCACTGCCCTTTCTGTCCCTCCGACTCTGGCTATTTATAGAGGATTTGTGTATGAAACATGTATGTGGACCGTGCTGCTACATGTTATCATCAGCAGATAGCAGGATGAGACAGTGATGCTAATGTGCACATTTCCTTTCATTTTGATCTTGAGGGAGCCATCGTTCTGTCGTCGCTCCTCCTCCTCCCTCGCCTCCCCTCCCCTGGGCAAACTGTAATTTTCCCATTTGACTGAAACATTGGCTGGAACTCCTTCCCTCTCCGCAGCACAGTGGCAACTGTTACCGTCTGTTGTGACTCAGTGAGGTTTGTCATGGCCAAATGTTCTCTTGTGCCTCAGCAGATACGTGCAGCTATAGTGTGCTCGGCCCCAGATGGAGGATTACAAACGTTGATCAGGAGATGTGAGGAAATACACTCATGGTTTGGAACATTTCATTATTACATCATCCCTCCATTTAAGTTGCATTTAAACACAGCAGTTTGAAGGAGTCATTTTGGCAACTAATTGCCGCAACAATTACAGTGTGGATCTTTAGCATCTGGCATGCTGGTTAGCACTGTTGCCTTCAGGTTCGATTCCCATGTCGCTGCGTGTGGAGATTGCGTGTTCTCTACATGTTTGCTTGGGTTTTTTCTGGGTACTGTGGTTTCTTCCCTCAGTTCAAAGACATGTAGATTTATGACAAATTCCCAACTGAAGGTGTGAATGTGAGTGTGAATGATTGTTTGTCTCTATATTTTGTCTCTGCAATATACCGGCAACTTGACTAGTGTTTACCCCGCCTCTCGCCCAATATTAGGTGGGATTGGCTCCGACTCCCTCTGGGACCCTCAAAAGGTAAAGTGGTATAGATGATGGATGGATCTTTAGCATCAAGGCCAATTGTTTGTTCAGTTTCTATTAGACAACAAGATAATTTCCTCATAGATAAGTCGGCAGATGATTCGGAGGCCTGAGGTAAAGACGTCAAGTCTGTTTTACAACATCACTCACATGTTAATCCTAATTTTATCCTTTGGTCATGTCTGTCCGTGTTTGCTATGAAGAGACCACAATCTTCATTCTGTGGGAACATGAGCTGATTTTAGTCCAAGCTGAAATGTATCATCAGCAGTCTGAGTTAGTCTGAAGCTGTTTTCCAAAGTTGCAGTTCCTCTTTGTTTGTGAGTCTACAGCTGCTCTCATGCTAATGTCCAGCAGGTGTAATGTTTACCATGTTATCCATCCATCCTATATAGCTTATCCTTCTGAGGCTTGCTGAGGGGCTGGAGCTGAACACAAACAGTTTAGTGTAATTATTCAGATCATTACTAATGTCTGTTCAAAATATCATTATTGTCAATACAGTAATTGTTGAGATATTTCTGTCTGGACAGATCTTGCCACATCCATATCTTTGCTTCCAGCATTTCTTAAAAGATTGTGACTGTGGTAGAAAACTGGCAAAATCAGACTGTCAAAGATATTATTATTTGGCTGAACATAAAACCATATTTCTACACTGAGCCAGAACTGTGGATTATGAGATCACTTGCATTGGAAACACGTCTAGGATGACTCTCAGTAGAGCACATACCCCCACCGAGGCCCAACAGTGCCCTGAATATGCTTTGATTCTTTTCATCAAGATTCATGAGTCATTCCCTGGGAAATGTGTGAAAATGTCAAAAAACAAAACCTCCCTCACGTTGTGATTGAATGTGTTCTTTCTTGGCCCATGTTCCATCCTTCCACCAAGTTTTGTGGAAATCCAGGTAATATACGGGATCTCTTTAGAGTTTATATGCACAGGATGAACTGCCTTGACTAAAAACACTTTTGGTGTACATGTGGACATGCAAGTGTTGTTTATGTAACATGTTAACACTTCAAACTGGTCCTAATAAGTAAAGAATCAGATTTGAAATGAGATTGTGGGTTTATGTCATTTTCCAAGGGGCAGCTTGGAGCACGTGTACAAATGACACATAATGAAAATATCGTCCTGATGTGCGGTGTGGTTCATCTGAAAGGGGTTCGGGATTTGGCTGATTTATTAACTTACATTCCTGTCAGGCATCTAGGCTTGTGGGCTTTAGACTACCCCCCCCCCCCCCCCCCCCTCCACAGTGTTTTCATGTGTATTCACTTCATGTGGTGAGACAGATTTATGGATCTTGTAGCACTCTATCATCACTCTGTGAGAATGACACAAGTTAGTGATAACTGTAGAGCGGATATTGAAGTGCTCTCCAGATTCTTTTGAGCTCAGCCTCTATTTATCACCGTCATTGTAGTGTTGACCTCATATCTTTTGATGAAATAGCATTCTGGTCAAATTTAAGCCAATTGATATTTGTTATTTATTTGTCACATATCAAGGTTTTTCAAAATACATACTAATTCATAGCTTTATAATATTTGTCTTCAATGCTACATCTGTCCCCGTCTTCTTGTTGTTACCACGGTTACAGGGTAACAACAAGAAGGTGGCTGCATGATTCTCGATACTTTACCTGCAGGCAACCCAAACCTACTCAAACATGAACTATAAACCAGGAGGCTTCCGTCCCCAAAATCTTGTCCCTCCTTTCAGATTCTACATATTCACATGCAGAATACACCCCCCCCGCTCTATTGTCGTCCTCGCTTCCTTCTCCTCATCCTGGCCTCCCACTGCTCAGGTGCCTGTTCTTGTTGCAGTCTCTGGCAGCCGTAGCGCTGTGGTGCAATCTGGTTCTCCCACATTCCTTCATGCTCCTTTTGGATGGAACTCATAAGCCATTGAAAATCTCTCCTCATCTCCCATTACTCACATTCCTCATTAGTTTTTTCTAATATTTTCCTCATTAGTTTTTTCTAATATTTTCCTCATTTTTTTTACAATATCTTATTCTTCGATTTAGAGAGTGTTTATTTGTCATGTTCGTTTTCCCCCATTCATTGTGTTGGATGGACTCACATGTTAGCACTTCTTGATGTAAGGGCACTTTGACACCATATTAGGGAAAGGCGTGGAGCTCGGCTCTGTTGTTTACATATGCAGGCTCTGAGGCTTTAAGGGTATTCTGCTGTGAGTGCAACGTCCTGAAGAGAGCCAGTGGGAAGTGTTGGACACTGTGTGCACTGCGACTGTCAAAGGACACAAGTGCTGCTATCACTCTATCACAATATGTTTGCAGAGCCATTCGAGGATCATTAGCTCTCCTTGTGTGTTTAAACTTGATGATTGGTCTCTTATCTAATCATGTTGGACCTACACACAACACTATTGAACTGTCTGTGAGGAAGATATTAGCCCTGAGAGCTGAAAAGATCAATCAATTAATCATTGAGTTGACAAAGTGTTGAATTTGCTGCTTTATAGTATAATATATATGTTGGGCATCTGGATCGTTGGTTGGACAAAACAAGACATTTAAAGACATCCCATTGGGCTTTAGGAATTGTGATGAGCATTCTCACTGTTTTCTGATGTTTTATAGACATAGTTTTCTAGAAGATCATACACAACCAGGGTTATTGTTGACGAAAATGTACTGTTGCCTACTTTGTTTGGTCGGAACCTTTTGGACTTTTAAGTTTGGTCAAAACTAAAATAACAGGTCTGAAAGGCGACTCGGATCTGGTCTGGACCAATGGACCACAATTTAGTCCGACCAAAAGAGTTGGTCTCAGTCTGGATCAAACTGAACCATGGTTCGGACGTTCAGACCAATTGCATGAAGTTGAGACGGCGTCAAACAATAGAAGAAGAAAGAGATGTGGAAGCGGATCACAGGATTGCTTGTGGTCTTTGCCTCTGACCTTGTAATATTTTAACAATGAGGATGTTCATTTTGCTGGTGGTAAAACCATAATGATGTTACAGTGGCAATGACATTAACAATGTGAACAGGTTCATTAATTTTCTCCATTCCAACGGAAAAAATACTT